TTACCACTCTGCAGAGAGCAAGCTAAGGTTACTAACCAAACAAAATAACTTTACACTGACAATGCCAATTTTTACATTTCTTTCAGAACAAGGGACACTCAAACTACCGGAGGTAAGGTGAACATTTTAATTTTTTTAATCCTTGCTTTTCAAATTGTTTGCTAACCTAACCAGGCTTGAGCTTTTACACTGTTACATGTGCCTTTTAAAATAAATAGAAATAAACCGAAATAGAGGGAACAACCCAAGTGATTGTGAACAAAATGCAAAAGTTAAATCCAAGGAATTTTCACAGTCACTGTCCGAAGGTCTTAGGTAGAGGAAAAAATGTGAAAACTTAATAGAAGACTGTGTATGAAATGGGACTTGTATAGAGGGAAGGGTGGTCTTTATCCCCAGAAGCTGGTAGATGCATCCCCTGTCATGAAATGTGTCACTGCCCGACATTTACCGAATTTACTGAAATTTCCTAGAATTACTGCAAATTCTAACATTGTTCATCTAAGGTTATGGTTCCATGCTTCTAGTACTTTTCCATTTGAGCACAAAGATGATCGTTATCATATCCTATTGATCAAATTAAGGTCTGGTAACATTTCCTTTTGGTTTAACACAGTCTCCTAATGGCTTAGAAGTATATGATCTCTCTTACCTCTCAGAATAAAGTTACATAAAAAGTTTTAAAAAATAAAGTTATTTTAAAAATACAAAAGATGGTGGGATATATAGGAAGTAAATAACAAGATGCCCATTATTAAATACTTTCCTGTTGAAAATGCTCTCAATTGTGTTGTTTGATGTTGTTTATACGGAGTTCTCCAAAGTTATAAAATTTCAGACAGAAAAGAGTTTTTCTTTAATGATTTCCAGATAACCATTGCCTTGGCCTTCAACCAAAAATAACAGATTTCTCACCTGACTGCCCCAACCCCCCAATCGCCATAGCAAAACATTTTTAAAGATAATAGAAGAATAAAATACAAACTATGTGCAATTAGTTATATGAACCCAAAGTTCAGTAATCTGAAAATTTCAAAATAATAATGATGAAAATTATGATTTGTAAATTAACATCTCACAGTTAAAACCCCTCTTTAAAAGTGACACTAGTATATTTTTAATCTAACACATAGTAAAAATAATAAAAAGCACAGCAAAATATAAAAGGTGCTTGTCTCTACTTTTTGCATAAGTATGTAATTTGAACATATAAGATATCAAGAGTGTGATATAAAGAGGCTCATATGCACCTAATCAGCGTATCTGTTGATCATATTTTAGAACCTAGAGTCTAGACCAAAGAATGCATAACAAGGTTGTTTTTTTTTTAATAGACCATACAAGTTCTTTTAGAGCTAAAATAAATTAACCGGAGATTTCCTTTAGTGTTTCATTGACAGGTAAGATTTTTCATTAGGGTTATCAGGATTCTTCCAGCAGTGCCAAGGATCTTGCAAAGCAGCCTTCTTTCACTTACTTTCTCATACTATTATTTATTATTGAGACAAAAGCCTTGTAGGGTTCTGAACTTTAACTCAGTGTTACCTAACATTTATCCTTTTAGATATATATATTATTTTTCCAAGGAAGATGGTTTCATTTCATTTTAATTAAGTAATGTGAAATGGGCATACTTACAGAAAGAAAATGTGCTAATAAGAAGTGGGTAATAATTTTCATGTGATACTTAATAATTCTCACAGACACTTTTATACTCTTTAAATTATATGTAAGCCCATTATGCAAGGAATAAATTTTCCCATTGATTTTTAAAAATATATAACATCAGTTTTTAGTGACTTGCTTCACTCTTCAATATAAGTATAATTTTTATTTACTGTGTGACTGTATTAATAATCTCTACTTTGTGTGGATGGGGGATTAGAGTAAGCTCTGAGGCTAGCCAATCCATTTGGAAACTTGAGTTTGTTTCAAGCGAGCAGTATAGCAAACTAATATTAAGAAACAGCTCTCACCCAATAACAGGTGCATTCACTCTCCAGGGAAGATGCTTGCAGCTGGTCAGGAATCTCCTCATAAGTAAATGGTGAAGCACTTTTGTAAGCTCTGTGATCTTAATTTTTCTCCCTCTCTTGAAGACCTTCTTTCTCTCCATGTAACAGTTTATATACTTCTGCTTCCCTTTCAATAGTTATGATTGTGAATTTTTTATATTTAATTTTACACTTTTTTGTGAAGTAGGTCCGTTTTCACTAGCCACAGGATCTGTGGGGTATCCATAACCATACCTGGGCTGTTCATCTCACATCCCATTCCAGAGTGGACCTTCAGAAAGCTCCGCTGGCTCTAAGAAGCAGGTTTATCATCGAATACATTGATAAACTTGCTTCTTGGAGCCAGAGGTGCTTTCTGAAATCCATTTTTTTTTTTTTAAAAGAGAGACAATAGGTAATGAAGAGAGAAATAACTGCCAAGTGCTAATAAAATTGAGTTTGTTTGTTTTTTCCCCCCTACTTTTAGGTAGACCAAAGGAAATTGAGAAGGTTCTGGAGACTGATTCTGGTGGTGTGAGGCTGTAATTGAGAGCTCCAGGGGTGGCTGCTAGATGTGCCCTCCCCTCCTTTCCCTTCTCTTCCTGCTGGGGACAAGGGCCTGTCAAGCCTCGTCCTAGACTTTTGAGAATATAGATTGGGGAGGGGAGCATAGGCTTAGAGATGACAGGATGATCATTGAAATTTGCACTTTAAAATTATTCAAAATATGATCTGCTAAACATCTCCTGTTTTTTTCAAAATAAAATACTTTTTAAGTTCTTTTAAAGTATAAAAATCTTAAACTCTACAAATGCAGTTGGTCTAGGGAGATGAAAATTCCTCCTATGTTTATTTTTTAAATATACTGGATCATAGTTATTCCACCGCACACCCTTCCTGTAGAAAGCTTTCTGTTTTCAGAGTGACTGATTTTCAGTGGCTTTTTAGAAGGAAAAACCTCAAATATAAGTAGTAAGGCACTAACAGAGTATAAGAATTACTTTCTGTGAATTTAAACATTTAAAATAACAAAAAGCTAATAATCCGTCACTTAATAATCCTTACCATGTGGTAGTAATCTTTCCAAGCATTTAAGGTAAATTAATTCATTTAGTTCTCATCACAAAACCTGTGAAGTAATTGCCATTATTATTTCCATTTTATAGATGAGAAAACAGGCACAGAGATATAAACTTAACTGTGTTCAAACAATTTGAACTTAGGGAGTATTATTCTAAGATCCATTCTTTTAATACTTGCAATGTGTATTCTATTTTATTTCTAAATTCAAGATATAAGAATACAGAGTTGCTCTTGAAGTCAGGTTTCCTTTTTCACATTTTAAATTTATAGTTTCTAAAAGGGACTAATTTAGGGATTCTAGGGATCAGACCAAAGAGTTAAATGTTTTTTCTTGCCTTCCTAGTACTTTGGTAGTAGAAGGTATAAGATCAGTAGAAAGTCAGCTTCTTATTGTGCATTAAGAAGATGATGGGATATGTAGGAAGTAAATAGCAGATGCCCATCATTAAATACTTTCCTGTTGAAAATACTGTCAATTGTGTTGTTTGATGTTGTTTATATAGAGTTCCTCAAAATTATAAAATTTCAGACAGAAAAGAATTTTTCTTTAAACTAGTGTTCTTTCATTTTATCAGACATGAGTCTGTAATTCATCATGCTTCCAGTTTTTGTGCCTTGGCTACGAAAAAGTCCAGAGCAAAATTTTCCTTTCACTCTCAATGACACTTGTTATAGTTTTTCTAGTGCAGCTGCCTATCCTGCGCAACACAGCTTCAATGCTGATTTTAGTGATCCTAGCAGTCTTTTACAAATCCATGTTGGAAGTAGTTGGGTAAAAACAAAAATCATATTTTAAAAATGTCTCCAATTTGCTTTCACCTGAGAACCCTGAGAATCTGCTGGATATGGCTTTGAGACCCTTAGGAAGGCTAGGGAAAAAAAAATTTCATCCATTTAACTTGTGAATGAAAACAGCAGAAAGAACCCCAAGAGAAATCCATGGCTAATGTGTGCTTAGCACAGCCAAGACTGCTCTGAATGAAACCAAGTCTCCTCACACAGACACAACCCAGCACATATAAAAAGAAAATTGCTTTTGTGAAAATCTAGATTGTATGATAGCCATAGACTCAGCATTTCGTTCAGTTGCATAATAAAGAAATGAAATCAAGCCCTTCTTAATTAGTGAGATTACTGTAGTTATTAGGTGGGAATGAGTTTAATTGCTTAAGAAATAAAATATGTAACCATGAATTTTCATAGATTTAAAATCTCTTGTATATCATCTGTAGTTTTTGTAATGCAAAGTTTTTTTCTTATGGCTTCTTTTTTCTATAATAAGAATTTATTTTTATGATTCACAAACTGCATGTCTGTTTTGTTTTTCAAAGTTTTCAGATACAACTGGTCTATAATTAAAACACTATTCTCATTTAAGTGTTTGCAAAATCAGAGCTTCAGATCTTCGTTTTGAGGTTGCATGTCTTCTTCAGTCTGGTCTGTGAGTCCCCATAAATAGCTGAGTTAGAGGTTTAGGACATCAGTTTAAGGCTATTGCTCATATGTCTGGACTGGGAACATTTTCTAACCAAGATGGCTGCTGAGCTTTGTTCTCTCCACAGTCACTAAGACTTTTAAAAAACTGAGTCTCAATATCTGGAGTTGGCAACCAAAAATATTTTTTTCTTACTGTTATAAGGTACCAGTGACTTATCAAGTGTAATGATGTGCAAGTGGAAGACTTATTAAAAAAAAAAAAAAGGTTAAATTATAAAAAAACAAACTTTAATACTCTGATCAAATTTAGTCATACTTTTAATTGGAAAACGTGCAGCATTCATTTGCTTTCCAAAGTGCCAATAGTAATATAATTTAATAATGCAACGTTACCAACTTGTATTTCTTTTGCTTTGTTTTCCTTTTCTGCACAGAAACGGACCAATGGACTCCGAAGAACTCCTAAACAGGTGGATCCAGGTGTGTTTCTGATTAAACACCCCGTAATGATGGCTTCAGCTAAGTGCTTATGAAAGTATATGGGAATTGCCGTGGAAAGTCAGGCATATTGTTGGCCTTTGTTCCTCATGGTTTGGTGTATAATGTGTGACCAGGAGGTCACAGTCTAACGTGTAAATCATTCACATGATGAATAAGTACCAGCAGCCACCAGCATTGCACTCTTTTCACAGTCAGCAGCTGAGCTGGTTATTTGCTAACTGAACAGCCTCAGGGTGCCTGGTTAATGCTCACATATCCAGCACCCTCCCTGTGTTCCTTTGTAAATCTAGTAAAAAAAAAAAAAAAAGAAAAAAAGTAACCAGCTAGCTGGCACTTAAAAATTACTGTTTTCTGAGTAAGTAGGGGAGAGCATAAACCAGACAACTGGTAACCACCCCCCATTGGAGAAAATTTCTTCATTCTATGTCTATACTATTTTATAGTAGCAGCATGGTTTTTTGGGACTTTGTGACAGGTTTCCTCTCCGGAGACCAATTATTTGTCTGCAGAAAACATTCAGTTGTTTTCTATTTAGCATTGTGAGATTTGCCCTGTCATTTTGTTAGTATAGTTATTTTTTTTTTCATCCATTATGCAATGCCTTCCTTCCACAGTTTAATCACCAAAGATTTTTTATGTATGTGATCCTTTTGTTGTGAGTTAAAGGTATTCACAGTTAAAGGATTCCAAATATACGAACTTGATGATAAACCAAGAGGAACATGAAAAATGGAGTAGCTTTGCTGGAAAATAACCTGGATTATGTGTTTCATTTTGTTTTCCCATCGTAAGTGGTATTCACCTGGTTGTAAAGTTTAGTTTTCAAAGCATTATAGCTTATAACTGAAACCACACCCATGATAGTCTTGCCAGTTTATGAGCTGTTTAAGATTTATAGGAGCTTTGTTGCCTCTGGCTAGAAATTGCCTCACTTGTGTCCTGAGACCAGTTTAAATCTTTTAACTACAGAACACAATTGAAGCCATCAAAAAAAAAACAGGGGTTCTGGTTTACTTTTTAATAGTTCTGACTTTCCCAAGACAATATCCTTTGCAGCAGACTCCCTGCAATAATATTTAGAAGTGACTTTATTGTATTTAGCAGGAGTATTTGACTGTGAACATAATGTTTGTGTCTTATTTTCTGTGAGTTATAGTATTACTACTTCAGAAAAATTATTTAACCTTTATAAATGTTCTTTTTTTAATGTATTTTTTCTTTCTTCTCCCCTCCGGGAAATGCATTTTTATATTTGTAGTTTGTCAGTAGGAATAAATTTGACTCAACAATCTATAGCCAAAATTTTCTAAAATCCCTTATTTAGATTAGTATAGTAAATTCACTGATTATAAATATGGCAAAGTAGAACAACAGTAAAACAGATTTATGCTCCTGTATCCTAAAGGTGATGGCTTTGCATAGGTACAGTTTTTGTTTGTTTGTTTTTGTATTTCTTCTTGTCCAAAGACTTTAGAACTTCATGAGGAATAAACTGACAAGAAAAGTACTGTTGTATGTTACGTGTGTAAGAACATAGGTAATAGTTTTCCATTAGGTATAATAAATGTATATGAGTATATTTTTCCTTTTTCCATATTTTTGGAAATAAAAAAACCAAACACTTGATGATTTTGCCTGTTGAGGCTGCTGATATGGTAAGCCTGTTACTCCCCATCACTGTCTTTTGATTTAGGCTTGACTTATGTATTTAAAGTTGCTTGACTTTTGCGTCTCTGCCTCTTTCTGCTGGTTAGTTGCAAAGCTTCTTTGTTCAAAGTTAACTCTTACCTGATGACCATCGTGCCTTGATCCTTATGTGGTTATTGTTTAGAAATTTTCAAACAAAATGTTTAAACAAGGGATCAGTGAAGTTGAATCTGCATAGACAAACTGCTTCTATGATGTATTATTTGCTATTAATGTTTTTACCATGGAAGTTCCTTTTTTTTTATCCTATAATTAATTTAGTTAACATCTTCAAGTGCCAATATATGACTTTCCAGGGTCTCACTTAAAGTGGCATATAAAAACAACTGATTAAACATTTTAGGTCAGGTGTAACCACGTCGCCAGGTCCGGGTCCAAATTTCAGAGCTATGTACAAAGGTAAATTTATATATTCTCCATAGCCCTTTTGCGTTAAAAAGGAACTTACTGCATAGTCTGGTGGGTAGTAGGTGCTTAATAAATGCTACGTGAAGCAATAAGTGATGATATACTTGTTATGTATGCATTGACATTCTTTCTTTTTAAATTCCTCCTGTTGATATACTAACGAAACACGGCATAGTCTAGTGGTGGGAAGGATGGCTCTGAGCCATGTCGCCTGGGCTTGGGACTGGCCTTAGCTGTTTACTTGCTTTTTGAACTTCAGCAGTTTGCATCCTCTCTCTGTGCTGTAGTTTCCTCATTTGTAAAAGGAAATTAATAAGAGGACCTAACTTACAATGTTGTTGTAAGCATTATGTGAGTTAATAATATATGTAGGATGGGCATGGTGGCTTGTCCTAGCACTCTGGGAAGCCAAGTGGGAGAACCACCTGAAGCCAGGAGCTTCAGGCTGTGGTGAGCTATGATGGCACCACTACATTCCAGCCTGGGTGACAGAGCGAGACCTTATCTCAAGAAACAAAAGAGCACATAAAGTACTTTCTGAGGTGCCCAGTATATAGTAAATGCTAAGTATAGCAATTACTGTGTTAACTAGTTTATATTAGAGCATGTTCTTTAAAATTGGACATTTCGTGTGAAGGAGAATAACATTTCCTCATTATTTCTTTGCAGACAGACTCTGAATTTTATGTTGAATTTCTGTTGAAACAAGAAGGTACATAATCACAGTCATTTTCAGATTTGTTGTTATTTCCTCCTTAATCTAATGGCTTTCATGATCTTTTGCTTATCTTTACCAATAAACATAGTCAACTGTGATAGTTGAGAGGTTTTTTTTTGGGTGAAATTATTAGTGTTTGTTATTGCAATAAAGAAGCAAAGAAAGACTCCTAATATTGAAAACATATATTGTGAGGTTTATTCAAATTCAAGAAAGATGTGACCACTAGGTTTACATTGTAGCTTGTTAGCACATTTAAATCATTTACTCCTTATTAATAATTGTGATTAATCTTTATAGGCAATATTTGTAAATGGCTTTGCTCTTTACTTTTTCTTGTCTTCTATTGTGTGCTAAGAAATGTATCAACTTATAATCTTGACTGCTTTTATAAATATACTAATATATGCAAATTCTGGTAGCTCTTTTGGATTTCTTAAATATAGCAGGGAATTTTCATCGGTTTTTACTTTTCTTCCTGAGACAGATGTTGGTATCAGGAAAATAACATTTGTAACAGACAGATCAATTATTTCAGGAACATGGAGGTGCTAGGCCTTTTTCAAGAACATGAGATCGTAAATCTTAAGAAAATCTGAGCACTGGTGTAATATTTTTCACCTAAAGTGGCACTCAAGGTCATAGTTACCAATTAAATTTTAATACTGAGCTTAAAATTCTTTCTGTCTCAGTATAAGAGATACAAGATTTATTTCAGTTTGCATGTGGCAAATCTGTATACCAGGGCGTGTATTCTTTTCTTTGAGTCCATGTTTTTAAATTATTGCAAAATTGTCTTATATCTGTGGACCTCATAGCATCTTGTATTTAAGCCTGCAGTCACTAGCTTTTAAGCACTTCAGACCATCATTCTGTGTTGTACTGCCTAAAGATTATATGGAGGAGATAGGAAATGTTTAAATAGCTTACACTCTTTCTGATCTTGTTACTCTTGTGCTTTGTGATAACCTTGAACAGATAATGGTTAAATTGATGAGTCCTTTCTGACAACTCTTGTGTCTCAGATGCTCATTGTTAAACTGTTGATTACAAAGAGATGCACATGGCTTAGAAACACTGTCTTTTCTGAGTCACCAAGGAGATTTCTTAGCAGAGACATCTTCAAAGATGGTCACTTTCTCTTTCAGGTGGATAGGATTGACATATAACGCCATTCCCATTTGTTCTTGTCTGATTAAAGGAATCTACAAAATCTTGCTTTATTACCAATTTCATTTCTTATGTGACATTAAGCACAGCATTGTCATTAATTATAAAACATGGCCCCTTTCCACACATAATTTATATCCTTCTTAGGAAAGGAATAGATACAGACACAAAGTTTTGATTACATAAATGCATGTATATAAATGTACACATAAATTTTTAAATACTATATACTATTTTATATATGGATTTATTACTGTATAGCAGTGCCTTAAAAACAATTAGTGTAATAGTTTGATAAACGTAAAAGGATCTAGAATTATACAATACATGCAAGAAAGCAAAACAAATTGGGAAAGACAAATGTCCCAAATTGCTTTTAATCTGGGTTATGTATAAATGTTTTCATTTATATGAATAAAAATGTTATACTGGTTTACTGAATTGAATTATAATTTAATATCATTGTTTTTAATGTTTTAATTTCAAAGGATTTATTCCAAGTCTAAACAGAATTTTTGATTGCTTTTAGGTTTGGTTTTAAATATAATACCAAGATCCTCAATAGAGAAATTTTATATTTTTGTTTCCAAATAGAAAACATTGAGAAAATTAACAACAGTGTTTTTAAAAGCACTTATCTAAAATACATTTTATATCTTTTTATGAAAGAGACAAATACATATTCCTGAAGGTTTTAGTAAATGAGCTTTCATCTGTAATAAATAATAAAGTTTCCATAGATTAGAATATTTCCATATTAATCAGTCAAACCTGCTTCTGTCTTTTCTATCACCTCCAAAACTAATTTCTCATCAAACATAGATCCTAATCTAAATATTGGGAGCATAATTGTAAATATGTAGAAATGTATTTCACATTGAAAGAAATGAACTTGAAAAAACTGGGACAGTAAACCCAGTGATTAAGATTCATTGCAGAGAAATGAGAAATCCAAGCTGTGAACAAATGCTGAGGAGCATGCTCTGGTTTTTAAAATAGCTGACTTCTTTTCAAGCTTCTATTAAACCATGGACAGTAAGACTAGTTTTGCACTAGGATAGTTGATCTTCTTGTTATTTTCAAGACTACCTTTCTAATTCCCTTTACTGGGATAACAGATTTCAAATGAGCTCCAGAGTTCCTTGCTCATATCTTTCTTGGTTTGAGGAGGATTTATTTCTCCCCTTCAAGACTCATTCCAAGTTCACAAAGGATCATTCCTGCTGTTGTCTGGCAGGTCTGTGCATGCCTTGCCAAGCCCGTCTTTTATGCTGATCAGGTACCTTCAGAATCAGAACAAAGGTGAGGTGAATACGTGGAGATGTGCATGTGGTTGGTTTTAGATGTGCATGTGGTTGGTTTTAATCACATCAGTGATATGATTACAGAAATAACAGAACGTTTGAATTATAATATTTAGAACATACTCTGGGCCATTTATGCACTGCTAACAATTTCTCTTATGGTACTAGTTATGTTTTAGAAGATAAAGTATTTATTAAATATTTTGAAGAAATTAGTGAGCTACTTTTAACATTTATCATCAATAAACTGTTCCTTACTTAGAACATCGGATAATGGAATGGGCTTCCTTTGCCATACCTATGGCCATGCTGGTTGAATACCATTCTATTTCAGAAAAAGAAGTATATGCCATGAAAAGCTATGTATATAAAGACACTTCAGAAATTTCTTATGGGCCAGCAACCTCTGAGAGGCAAATAATTGAGTTTCAGCACTTAAGTCTGAAGTAACTTCAATGAAAGGAGCAACTAGGTCAAAACATATTGACTTTCTATAACAATATTTGATGCAAATGATATCCAATTGATTTCAGGAGAGGACATTGATAAAGTAATTCTTAATATAACTTATGATCTTATTTATAACTACAGTTCTGTGTACGAATAGCGAGATTATTATCAAATTAATTAGAACCATGGAGTGCTGTTTGTGGAATTTCTGTCAAAATGACTCATATTGGCAATTAGTTATCTTTCAGCATATTCAAATCAAGCTGATTTCTAAATTTTTAATTTGAATGAAAATAAAAACTTAGGTTCTTATTGTTTTTATGGATTATGTTTCTTTTGAGACTAGTTCATTTTATTCTGTATAGATGTTAAAAATATATGGAAGTTTCTCTGCCTTTGAGGAACTTGGAATTTTGCTGGAAAGTTAAGACATACAAACATAACATGTCTAAGTAATATTGTGTACTACATGATAAACTTCCAAAGTGTGTGATACAAGTTATGAATGGTTGACTGAAGGCAGATGAGGGAGAATATTTTGCAAACTGAAGGACACAGGACAAGAAAACAAAATATCTAAACTACACATCAGTAAAAGTGAATTTACTAGAACTATATATGTTTTAATGAAGTTATCAGTCTGTTCCTAGGTTTGGGTCAGTTCCGTTCTATACCAACCAACATGCTTTTGATTACCAAGTGACAAAACCCATTTCAAACTAGCTTAAGGAAAAAAAAAAAAAGAAAGAAAGAAAGAAAAATGAGAGTTTCTTGAGTTAGGTAACTGGGAATTCCAGAGCGTTTGGGCTTTAGGCAGAGATGGGTTCAGGGACTCCAACTGATATCATTAGTGTTCAATTTCTCTTTGTGTCTCAGTTCTTTCTCCTCTATTGGCTTCTTGTCAACATGCACCTCACAGAGGTTTTTCTCATGTGGAGGCAAAGTTGTCTGTTAGCACCTCTCAGTGTACCTTGTCCCCGTAGCTGGTGAATTCCAAGAAAATAGAAGATCTTTCTCTCAGTAAATTCAGCAGAATCCCAAGGAGGGCTTTAATTGGCCTGGCCTAGACCATGTGCTCCTCTCTGAAGCAATCAATGCAGCCAGAGTGCTCTGTTGATTGGCCAGTCTGGCTTTTGTACTCACTTCGGAGATGGGAAATGGAACTGAACTGGCTTGTCCACATGAAATTTGTTTTCTATAATTCTGTTTACAAATGAATGGGAGAGAGGAAAGATAAACTTGGTTTTAGCAGGTTATAATGTACACCTATTATTTTGTACAACAAATTTCATCCAGCTTTCATCCTTGGGCATCTTTGGCTAGATTTTCCACCTCTCCTACCTCATCCTTTTTCCATTTGTAGGATCCTATGATTGTTCTCTGGTATCCACAATGGTAAATCTGGAGAAATGAAATTAAAATGGGAACTGGGGATTCCCAGCAAAGGCTTATTCTAAGTGGAAACTTTTAGTTTGCAGTGATAAAACAATAATTTTCTTGCCACATATTTGATCATCTTGTAACCCTGTCATGGTACCTCACATATCACGTTGATATTCTCCTTTGAATGCAGGTACTGTTTTTAGACAGTGATCATCCTTTATTTTACTGTTAGCTACTCACATGTTAGTATAGATTAGTCTATCAGATTAGAAAACTGATGAAACAGAACCTAACAGCATGTTTTGTGAGGATAGAAGTGAAGAAAGGTGCCATCTCCCTAAAGGAAGGTTCAGGGTAAGAATGTGGGGGAGCCAGATAATATAGCTGTTAAGGCACTAAATTTAAGCTACAACCTGCTTCAACAGCAATAAAAGAGTAATGAGGAAAAAAAGAGAAGAAATATATTTTTTAAATTTGATCTATATTAAACATTTTCATGCACAACAGCAGTTTTAATCTCCAAGGGCAGCCATGTGCAGTAGTGTAGTCTGAGGGTTCTGCAGTGGCACAGAGCTGGATTTGTGTCCTGCTCCTCTGCTTACTTACCTGTATTTTCTATTCGTAGTAACAATTTACCATGAATTTAGCAGCTTAAAACAACACACATGTGTTGTCTCAGTTTCTGTGAATCAGAAATCTGGACATGGCTTAGTTGGGTTCTGTGCTTCAGAGTTTCTCACAGTAGTTCACTTAAGATATTGGCCAGGGCTGGATCTCATCTGAAGGCACAACTGGGGATGCGTTCACTTCCAAACTCACATACATTGTTGTTGGCAGGATTCCATACCTTTTGGACTATTGAACTGAGGGCCTTATGACCTGGAACACTTGGCCAGAAGCTGTCCTCAATTCTTTACTACATGGACCTACCCACCATGGATGCTTGCTTCATCAGAATGTACAATCCAAGAAGGTGTTAGGGTTTCATTGCAAGGTGGACATTAAAATCTTCTATAATACAATCACAGAAGTGACATCCTATCACCTTTGTCCTATTCTTTTGGCTACCAACATTCAGGGAAGAGGATTAAGTATGTTAATATCAGGAGCCAAGGATCATTGGGTTGGAGTTTTTAAGCAGGGGGAACCAAAGCTCTGAGAGTTTAAGTACTTCAACCAAGGTCACACAGTACTCTGTGGGTGCCAAACTTAATTGCAGCGTATTTGGCTCTAGAGACCTTATCCTTCTAGACATCTTTGTATTTTACTTATGTCAAGCTTTGGACAGAGAAAAGCTTATTTCCTGTGGTCTAGCTGTATAGTTCTGTACAAATTAGCAGTGGGATCTGGTCTGATTTTCAGAGTTCATTTGTGGCTGCTGTTACCAAGCAGATTTATGAGTGATTTTATTTTATGCATTGTTAATTTTGAAAATGTTAATCTGAAATTGCTACAGTATTTCAATTAATTTGGGCGATTAAAACTTAGCACCAGAAGAATCCCTAGCAGAAGATAAGGCAGCTAATTAGAGGTTCTGAAACCAACAACTGTAGACACTGGCACTGAAACATGCCGTGTGGATGACACCCAGCAGAACTCACTCTGCTTAACAGTTTGGAAACGGAAAGAATAATTTCTGGCAGTCTAAATATTAAACTTGAATGCAGTTGAATTTTTTAAAAGCTATTTTAAGGAGTTAACTATTTAAATTGATATCTAATTTTTAAATATGCAGTTCTGAAAAACTATGTTCAGATTATTTTGCAGTGTTGTCTTTTGGATAAGTGTAGTGGTGACAGAAATACAATAGATATTTTTTGTCAAAGTAGTATTTAAAAATGAGGCAGCATACACTTTTTAAAAAAATAACACTTGAGCTTCTTTGCTAGAGTTTTGCATTTTGAAAAGATTATTCTACAGTATTCAGAAAATATAAGGAAGTATGGAAAAGTTCTCTGGACAAATTTCCTGTAACCTTCTCACTCAGATAATCACCCTTTATACTTTTGTTATACGCTTTTCCCCTCATAGGTTTTTTCTTTATGTGCAGCCACATGTTTACTAAATGCTTGTGTTTTCGGTTTGGTATTCTCCTTTCATCACCTCATTTTGTTTCATGGAGTATATTTGTGGATTCATTTATTCTTTCAACTGTTTGACAAGTATGCTGACTTGGCGTTAAGTGTACAAGAATGAACAAGATGTGTTTTCCCTCACACAGCTGCTATGTCATGCAGCAAAGGTAATGGTGAAGATTTGAGATCAGGGAAATACAAAGGGTGTGCCAAAAAGAGGCATAGATTTTAGATATGTGGGTATCAGGAAATGATGTCTAACCTGGAATCCAGCATCTGAATGGAGATAAGAGGGTTACAGGCAGAGGGAAAGGCCTGGAGCTGGAGAAGGCTCAGAGGGTTGGGACAGTAGAGCCATTCACAAAGAGAATATAAAGAAAACCAAGGCAAGATCTTGGTTGATGCACATCAAGGAATTTGACTTTATTCTGAAGAGCAGATTGAGCCTTTGGAAGGGTTGTAACTAGCAGATCAACATGGGCAGTTAGGACTGGTTGAAAAGATCATCGTAGCTGTACTTACTCTTGAATCATTAAATACTCTTCCCCCAAAAAAGAAGTGGATTTTACTATAACTTATTGTTAGACATTAGTTTTTCTAATTTTTATTTTTCTAAATGCTTTGAGGAACACCTACAGATGAACATGCTTTACCATGTGGTTGATTATTATTTAACAACGGAGCCATAGAGGCACCATATCTGGGACAAAGCATATCAACTCCTAGATTTTGGATGTATATGCTGCCAAATTTATCTTTTAGAAATATTACATTGAATTCTATCTCCACATATTATTAGGATATGAGAATATGTCTTATTTTATGCCCACCAACCTTGTATTATTCTTTTTACTTTAAGTCATTTGATAGGAAAATAATAGTATCTTGCTATCATATCATCGTAGTTGATACCATAATATGAACCTCTTGATTTTTAGTGAGATAGACTACTTTTAATGATTTTAGCTATTTGTATTTTTTTCGGTGAATTATCTATTATGTTTCCTCATGCTTTCTATTCAAGAATTAGGGGTTTTCTAAATTATTTGTAAGAATATGTGTGTGTGTGTGCGTGTGTCTGTGCGTGTGTGTGTTATCAATTTTGCATTTATTGAAAATATTTTTTTCTGGCTTGTTTCTATATAAAGTTTTAAATTGACCAGGGGTCAAAATTATAGACATTTTATTTATGGTCTCTTTTATTCATTTTATGCTTAGAAAGTTTTCCCTCCTCTGACTTCTATTAAACACCTACTTATAATTTTATTGTTCAATTTTTGGAGCATTTGACCATTTAACTTATTTGT